GTTGGAAAGTGATCACCGAAGAGGACAGCAAAGACTTGCACTATAGATATCTCGCGGAGAAAACCAAATGATTTCCATTTAAGTTAATCTTCTTTTCACTTGAATTGTATTTTTAAGTAATTTTAATTAAATTGTCGTCAAATGAAGTCGCGTTTTGTTTATTTATTGAAACAAATGGACATAAAGTTCATAAAATATAACAAATATGATAAATGTTTGGATCTAATAATTGATTATAGATTTGTAAAGTATTAAGACTCTTATCGTTTGACTGAATTAGCGAACAGTAATACAAATGACACAAATGTATACAATTCATTAGATTGTTCATGCTACACCCTATATTTTATAATGTAGTGATTGACATGAATTTGATTTTAATACTCATTTAAAATTTAATTAAAATCAAATCAATAGGAAAACTATGATGAATTTGATTTAAAAGCAAATGATGCACAGAATTATAAAAATATACGGTTTTATAAAAGAGTTGCTGATCATAAGGGGTTCAGAGAAAACAACATTTACCGTACGATAATTGACTGAATATCANATTAGAAATACTTATCATTTGTAAATTTATTTCACGTGAAAATCATGTGAAGACGTGTTCAATGATTTTATCATTTCGTTATATCTTATGACAACAAAACCAAAAGTGAAATCAAACAGAAAACAAAATATACAGACAAAATGTATTTATAGACACGTTATATATATATTTAAAATTATATTCATTACAATTAAGACTTAATTTAAGACACAAGTAATATCAACTGCAATGTATAAAAATAATTATAGTAAGTTGTATCCAAAAATTCTTTTTAAATAATGTAAAAATAACAAATTTTGCATAAAAATTGTCAGTATTTAATGATTATAGTAAAACATTAAGAATCACCAATATTAATCTTATTTGCATTTTAATTTGATTATTGAAAGCTCTGACAAACACTTTAACATTGTTTCACAAGTTTTGCCTTTAAAAAATAAAATTAAATCAAATGTGCACTGAATAGTGACTTAAAACAATACACAAAACACAGAATATGACAAAATTTCATCAAAACTTCTTATTATAAAAATTAAAGCCATCAAAAGGCACTTAAATTGACATAATTTGTAATAAATTAGTAAAATTGAATGCTTTTACAGTGAGTTACACTATATCATAGGTACTTTATATACAATATAAATGATACTGTATATAATTACAATTTATGTTTAAAAACAATAAATATTAACTAAAATACAAGTCTTGTTTCGGACATAAAATAAGTGGTCTTTGAATTCAAAAATAGTTTTCAGTAATTAAAATAAAAAATCTGTCTTTAAATTACGTTAAAAAACAATTTGTTTAATACAAAAATGCAATTAAAAACGATATAATGATTAGCTATTAGTGGCGGTTGTGGTAGTGATCCGTTGCCTCGACTTCTTTGGTCGCAATTGATTACTACTTGTGTTGGATCTGTTGTTGTCATCGCTTTGATGGCTATTATTGTTGTTAATCATCAACAACTCCCTCACGAACCGGAATCGGCTTAAGAAGACCTTCCATACTAAATACCATCCTTGGGATCAATTACGAGACTCGGTTAAGACAAGTGCATGATATGTGACATGATATATGATATCTATTCAATGGCTTACCGATGAACACGAAGATAATGACGAAAATAAATGACATTATAATGGATAATAACATGAGAAATATTTGTGTCATTTTGTGGCCGATTGGTGTCCACTGTGTGCTCACATCCACTCAATTCAGTCAAACATTTCAAACAATGAGCTAATTATATGTGAAATCAATTTAAACGGCATTTAAAACACTCTTTCATAATGTATTCACAAATATAATGTAATAATCAATGAATAGCAAAATTACATACAAACTGATCATTAGTTTCTCATTTCTAATAATCATTTCAATTACAACAACGGATTGCATAACAAAAAAGTCACACAATTTATGGCACGTTATGTGTGAATAGGTCTCACAAAGTGCTCAAAAACTGCAAATTCATTGAATTGTTTTGAATGAGTCGTGCATTTGAGTGAACACTGCATTCAACTCTTGTTACCAATTGATCCACCATTTGATCCACACTTTCACCTCAGATTACATCACATCCAATGGCTTTGCAATCACTTCACGGACTGCCGACGAATCCGTCGTTTGGATCACTGGACAGATCGCTGGACGTGAACGCTGTCCAAGAGTTGGCGGCGTTTGACACGACATGTCTGGCGATGCCATCCGTGGACTCGTTTGATATGAACCACTTGTACGACGCGAACGACACCCACAAGAAGATCGACATCCATATGGATAAGGGAACCACTACTCTGGCGTTCAAGTACAGGGGAGGTGTGGTGGTGTGCGCGGACAGTCGTGCCACCGGTGGTCAGTACATAGGCTCGCAGTCCGTCAAGAAGATCATAACCATCAATAAGTATCTGTTGGGAACCATGGCTGGAGGCGCCGCCGACTGTGTCTACTGGGAACGGGTGCTGTCAGAGAGGTGTCGTATATATGAACTGCGAAATCGAGAGCGCATTTCAGTGGCCGCCGCCTCCAAACTCTTGGCTAACATTCTCTACAACTATAAGGGGTTCGCAGAGAGACCGACACTTCTTCACCAGTTTGTCATCTATTTGTTCATCTCTTATAGTATGGGTCTGTCGTTGGGAGTCATGATCTGCGGCTGGGATGAGAAGAAGGGTCCGTCGGTCTTCTATGTGGACAATGACGGCCACCGTATGCCCGGACATCTGTTTAGCGTCGGCTCCGGCAGTACTTATGCTTACGGTATGTGTCCATAGTTTATGTGATTTATGGCAAAATCATTGCCTAATTATCGGCGTTGTATGTAATGTCAGGTATTCTGGACTCTGGCTATCGTTGGGATATGACTGATGAGGAGGCGTACGACTTGGGCCGCAGAGCCATATATCACGCCACACATCGAGACGCCTACTCCGGAGGAATCGTTAGAGGTATTGATCTCTATTTGCATGGGTTTTGCTTGGATTGTCTTAACTAACATTTGCCTCAATGTTTGAAACAAACAGTTTATACGATCAAAGAGGACGGTTGGAAAGTGATCACCGAAGAGGACAGCAAAGACTTGCACTATAGATATCTCGCGGAGAAAACCAAATGATTTCCATTTAAGTTAATCTTCTTTTCACTTGAATTGTATTTTTAAGTAATTTTAATTGTTGGAAAGTGATCACCGAAGAGGACAGCAAAGACTTGCACTATAGATATCTCGCGGAGAAAACCAAATGATTTCCATTTAAGTTAATCTTCTTTTCACTTGAATTGTATTTTTAAGTAATTTTAATAAAATTGTCGTCAAATGAAGTGGCGTTTTGTTTATTTATTATGATTTATACGTTTTACGGTAAACAAATAATTTGATTATTTATTGAAACAAATGGACATAAAGTTCATAAAATATAACAAATATGATAAATGTTTGGATCTAATAATTTGTAAAGTATTAAGACTCTTGTCGTTTGACTGAATTAGCGAACAGTAATACAAATGACACAAATGTATACAATTCATTAGATTGTTCATGCTACACCCTATATTTTATAATGTAGTGATTGACATCAATTTGATTTTAATAGACTCATTAAAATTTAATTAAAATAAAATCAATAGGAAAACTGATGAATTTGATTTAAAAGCAAATGATGCACAGAATTATAAAAATATACGGTTTTATAAAAGAGTTGCTGATCATAAGGGGTTCAGAGAAAACAACATTTACCGTACGATAATTGACTGAATATCAGTTTTGCATAAAAAAGTTTGAGTACAAGAAAACAATTACCAAAAATAAAGTTCAAATAGTTTGGCAAAAGGGCTGATAATACGGTGTATTTAATATTATAGATTTGATTGTATGAATGGTTTTGCTCGACAAAAGTATAGGAATTACCGATTAATTCTTAGCCGTTCTTAGCCTTTATAGCTGAGGGTAGAGTGGAGGCACACCCGCCCTCGAAGTGAAACCTATTTTAAAATCAATCAATTATTAATAAATATATACTATTTTATGAGTAAGTAATACGAATACCCGAAATGATGGGTTCCAGGAGTGCTTTCAATGTTGAACTCAGCCACCGGTACCCCTCGAGCGGCTACTTGTGGCGCAAACATTGCCGCCGGGTATACGATAGAGGAGGTGCCGATCTATAGGCCATTCAATGTTATATCACTTCGTGTCCAAATCCATATATGTATCATCACTTACCACAAGACAAAGATCACATTTGTCTAGTTCTGTTTGGGCCGCTTCCAGAACCTGATCCATGGAATGCCATTCAAAGCAATGAATTACAAATGGACACAAAACTCATGACAAGGACTCAAAGAACTCACACTCGGGTCCAGGGGTTCGCCAAACCAGACGACGTGTGGTCGGAGAAGTCCGTGACATTTGACACAATGCGGTAACTCTTTGATCGGTATCTTCGAGTCCATCTCTGACGGGTCGGGACTTCCCTTGCCTTTGAGCGCCGGCACAATCGGCGACTCCTTATTGACGGCAATGTCACCGCATTTGGTGCACTGGGTCTTGAAGAGGGTTCCGTGCAATTCAATCACATTATCACTTCCAGCCCTTCGGTGCAGTTCATCGATGTTCTGAGTGATGACAACCAATCGCTTGCCCTCATTGGCCAACCGTTTCTCAGTCTCAGCCAATGCCTTGTGGGCGTCGTTGGGTGTCTTCGTGTGGACCAGTTCTCGACGGTATGAGTAAAACTCCCAAACGAGCGCTGGATTCGAGGCAAAGGCCTCAGGAGTGGCCAACTCTTGCGCCTTATATGTGCGCCAAAGACCTCCCGACCCCCTGAATGTGGGGACACCGCTCTCAGCACTAATGCCAGCGCCGGTCAGCGCAACGATGTGTCGGCTTTTGGCGAAGACTTCGCGAAATGACGACAAATCGGATGACGGACGCGAAGATGACGGGCCGGACATTGGCACTGATCTCGTCAATCGTCTCAAGAGTTGTGTCACTGGTTTGGACAGACAGTGTCGGGTGAGTGCCATCAGTGGGAATGGGATGGGGTTTGGGATTGGGATGCGATTCAATCGATACAAACAATAATTAGTAAAACGTTTTCAATATTTTCTGAGAAACTGATAATCAATTGGAGTTTTAACTGAAGTCTAGTTTTTTGTGCAAAACTCTCATTATTTGTAACTATTTTTTGTTCACTAAATGTTTCAGAAAATACTATTCAAAGTCAATACAAACCAATTGTTTGAATAAAGTTTGAGGAAATAGACAATAATTTATAAAACTTTAATCCATTTAATTCATTGAAAATACAATCAAAACTAAACCGAGTTTTCACTGTAATTATCAGTTTTGCATTACATTCACAGATGTCTCACACATACATACACTTTGTATTCACTTTTTTCATTGATATTCACTAATTCTTGAAAAACTACCAAGTTTATTCATTATCGAGTTTTACTTTGATTTGTAATCTTTACTACACTTAAAAACAATAGTTGTTTCAATTATTATTTAAATATAAATATAATTAATAAAAATCAACATAAATTTAATTCAAACATTTAATAGTTATATTATATTTATAACTATTTATAAATGGTTAAACAAAGTTATACTTTTAGCGACTAAATTATACTGAATCTAATTTTTAACACTTTGTCTTATGATTTTTGGATATTTATAAGGGGAATAACTAATTATTTGAATAAATTAATTACTTCCTTAATATGGACAAATTAAATTTCAAGGATCAAGGTCTACAAAGTATTTTATTGCATACTTAATCATAAAACTTTTTATACCTATTGGAACATTTTATTAAATTGATAAAAAGATATTTTAAACTTTATAATACAGTAATTAACGACTAAATGGACATTCAAATTGAATATTAAATTATAAGTGAGATATTTAATAATTACCTGAAATTAAGTGTATTTTATGACAAAAGTTTCACAAATCCTTATCTCAAACAACATTTGATGTAATTTAATGCTTTTATAGCGAACACTTGTTTTGCAAATAAATCATAATTAATAGACACTCAGATATACACGTAATAATAATACACATAATATTGTAAACGATAATTTGTCTGAATTTTGTGTTCATTTTAGTCTAATTGAGTATATCGTGTAAAATGTATTTTAATTTATTAGTAATTAATCTAGCATTCATTTTATTCATAAATATCAGTGTGAGAGCTCATGAAAGTCACAATTACCAAAATGTAATTAATCCAAATCAGCCACATGTCCACCCGGCTCCACATCAACCAGCAGTACCACCACCACAACAAGCACAGGGAGGACAGGGAGGACAGGTGCCACCAGATCAAGCACCGGTAGCACCCGAAGCATTGTGGGAGAAATATGGGAAACACGATTTCATGCATGACTTAAAGTATCAATGAATGTAATTCCGAAATATAGATAATAGCAGTCATTATATGATTATATTTAGTCATTTGCGAGAAGAGGCAAACAATTTGCTTTATATGCAAGAATCGGATCAAATAACTAACGATCAGTCGGCCTTCTATTACACTAAACTTCATGACTTTAATAGTGACGGAAGGCTCGACGGATTAGGTATCAAATCGATGACCAGGGTATTTTTAAATTGTATAATGAGTTTATGTAATCATAGAGCTGTTGTTAGCGGTAAAGCATTCACTGATTCACCACAACGCCAGCTATGAATTTACGCCATTGGAGGACATGTCAAGTATTGAATTTTGTTAATCAAGAAATTATATATTCATCGATTCTTTCTCATAAATAGTTTTTGCATTTAAATTATAAAATTTGAATATTAAATTGAATTATTTCAGATTATGTCGATTCGGAGCTAAGTTTAATGGACTTAAATAACGATGGATATGTAGATTATGGAGAAATCTACACTTATATGCAAAACAATAAACAAAATAATCAAGATAATCAACCGAAAACTCAATAATTTATTCATTAAAAGAATAGTCAGTTATTTATGTGAATAAAAAGAAAACAAACTAATCCTAAGAATTACATTAACATTTTTATTTATTTAATTAAAAAATTTCAGATATTTATTTTCTCTCCAACTTTATTTTCGTTATACAAAATACATCTCAGTTTTAAAACAATTACTGCTATTTGTTTAGTATAAACATTAATTACAGAATAATAAACCATTAAAATGTTTGATAAATTATATTTTAAAATGAAATTAAAATTGAATGTCCATTAGATCCCTTTGTTTTGAAATAATTTATTTTAATATTTCTTAAAAATTTTTAATTGAAATTTTAAAACATTGATATTTAACAACAACAAAATTTAAACAATACAATACAAATTGTCATTTTTCACATACTATTTTAATTGTGCTTTTAACTGTAAATACAAGCAACTGCTTATTTAATATTAAGTTATTTAATTATTTCTCATACCTGCATACAAAGTGTTATATTTATATAAAAATAATTTATCTGACATTTTTCAAATCTATAAATATTTTTACTTGTCTGGAAGTGAATTAATTACATACGAAATAGTTTAGATAACATTATGTTAGTTTTATTATATTTATTATAATATTTAAAAATAATGTTAAAAAGTATGGAAAATATTTACAAAAAGATGTCCGGCTTTTATCTTTTGGTCGATTATTCATTTCGGAAAGTTTTTGTAAACTAATCACTTGATTATTATTTGCATTGTTTTCACATTCTATGAATAGATATACAAATTCAGTGAAACTTTTAGCATCATATGAATCATCAAAACTAATCGCCACAACAATTTGACGACATTTTAAAATCAAAGATTCAAATGAGAAAAACAGAGTTAAAGTCCAGAATATTTGACCCAATTTGTGATTTAAGCCAAAAATGAGAGCTTCGGACTAAACTTATGGTAACCTATTTGTCGGCTCTAAACCGGTTCCTAACGTTAAATGTTGTTTAAGTGCAATGAGTCTACGAACAAAACTTTTTAAAACATTATTTCTAACAAATTGTTTGACGAATAAAGTTCTAAATATAAAGAAATATTTTAAGACTTAAAATTTAAGTTATGTTTCACTATATTCATGACATCAGGCTTGTCTCAAACAAACGGTGAATAATTGAAATATCATCAAAGTTTTAGTGAGTTTTGTGAGTTGAGAAAAGTTTGGATTTAAAATTGGTACTCAATTCGTGATACACACAGCAATACATGTGAGTAACCAATAGGTGAACATTTTTGACAAATGTTATGCAATTTAAATGTCTTGTTTATTAATGTGTTGTGTGAACTAAACATGAAAAATAATTTGTATTTAATATGATTTGAAAGGATTTAAAGTCCATATCTTAAGCGGTTTATCCTTCAGATATGAATTGTAATAAAAGTATTGATGAAAATAATTGATAAAACATTGAATAAGCGTTTAGTTCACTCATCCATAGACTAACCTAAAAAATGGGAAATTTTCGACTTTTGAATCAAAAGTTTTCATTTATTAGCAAACATTGTATTGAATTATTTCCCAAAAACTTTCAAAGTATGCTATTGAGAAACTTACGTTAGAGATGAGTATAGAGTTTTGTAATAACATTCACTTTAATTTTTAGTAATAAAGTATAAATTTACTTTTATTTTAATGAAAAAGACTACTTTATTCAAACGAGTGGAAATAAAAACGATATTCAAATCAAAAAATTATCTATAATTCCAGTACAGTAAGTACCGTAGTCTAAGACACGAGACTGAACATAAGTTAAGTTATCATAAAGACGACAGATACTCTCAATTCGGCAATAAAATGAGAGTTAAGTGATGAAGTTTTATATTTGTATTTATATTAGAGTTCATTACTGTATATCCAGTTGTGGTTGTGATTGGGATAGGGATTGGGTTAACAGTAGTTTTGCAGTAAATTTAGAAACTTTCTGATAGTATTTGTGCGGTTAATAATCGTTTCCTTTATAAACACTGGGTTTATATGTTGAAACATTATGTAGGATTTAGATAGGTTTATAATTTCCATACTGAACAAAACTGTTAAAAAGAGTTTAATTTTCAAATTGAAAACCTGTAAATGTTAATACTATTGAACAAAAGTATCACTAAAAGCCAAATAGATTATTAAACTTCCGTTTCATAGGTACTCTAGTACTTGGAAAATACCGTACTCATAATTGCAAACATTTCTAACTGGTGAGATTTGTCACTAATTTGTTAATTGAAAGATGACTTTATTTCCACCAAATGTTTGTCAAACTAATGAGTGAAATATTTTCCACTTCTCTATTAATGCGAGTATTTTTCAATTAAATAACAAATATTACAAATCATACGGAAGTAATTCTCGCATTTGTTTCACATATTTATTTCTTTTCAACTCATTTCATACAATTATCTGAAATAAAAATCGATTTCGCAGTCGATTTGATCTCTGATATCAATTAATAAGTTTGTGAACAACTGTTTAGCGACGACCCCGAGCAAAATGTCGAGTCCTCCCTGGAAAGAGGCCTCTTCGCTGATAATCGTATCGCGCGCTGCGGTCACCGACAAAGTCGGTCGCAATTCACCGAAAACGGGACAACAGATAACCGGCGGACGGAACTCTTCGACGGCCTGTGACTACCGGATAATGATGGTTAAGAGGAGTGGTCTGAGCTCTTTCATGGCCTCTGCCTTCGTCTTTCCCGGCGGTAAAGTAGAAGTCGCCGACTATTCGCCCAAATGGTGGAAACTCTTCGAGACGTTAGGTCTCACGCGAAGTGATTTGGAGGTGTTCTCGACGTGTGTTGTGGGCCCCCGACCGCCGATGATTACGGAACCGCTCACTATCTCTGAAGCTAAACGCGACGCATCGGAAGACGTGGATTATCTTCACGCAGATGTTGGACTCAGAATCGCTGCCATAAGAGAGACATTTGAAGAGACAGGTCTGATATTAACTGAATTATTATTTAGAATTTATCTTAAATTGACACTTGAATGTCACCAAAGGTGTCCTCCTATTAACTCAGCCCCCATTATCTCATGAGTCAACTATGGGTTCACTGTCACGGCGATCGACACCATTGGTTCCCATTTCAGACTTGGATGACATGAGTATAGACTTAGTTGAGTGGAGAGAAAAAGTCCGAACAAATCCAAACGCATTCCTCGAGTTATGTCTGGAGACGGGCCTCTGTCCTGACTTATGGTCATTGTATGAGTGGTCGGATTGGTTGACACCCATAAGTGTTGGTCACAAGAGATTTGATGCATTGTTTTATATCTGTTGTCTGGAGACCGAACCGAAAGTAGTTCTCGACAACTCTGAAGTGACAACCCTTTCGGTATGACTGAAAATTAGATGCAATTATGAGAATGTGTTGAGTAATGAATTGATGTGTTGTGTGAGAAGTGGTGCACACCTATAGAGATGCTGGAAGAGCACAGTCAGGAAAGGGTGTTCTTAGCGCCGCCACAGGTCTACGAACTCTCGCGGATTCATAATTTGCCAAATTTTAAAGCCGTTCAGGAATTCGCTCTCAAAAGACAATCAATGGGTATCGAGCGCTGGCTTCCAGTCATCTCCACCTACAACGACGGCGCCATATCTCTGTTACCCGGTTTGTACTTCACATTCATTTAATTAAGTTATAATAATTATCCGTTAATTTCTTATAATTGTTAAAACCACTTCAATTATATAATTAAGGCTTAAGTTAACTCTCATAGCAATTATCCTTTTCAGGGATACATAGTTTTCTATTGAAATTTCTAGCACTTTATACATTACACATAACAAAAAATCCCAAAACATACACGAAGTGAGAGATTGTCGTCCACTTAAATCTTATAATGATTAAGTTAAGATGTTTTATTTACTATATGGTATTGAAGTCTAGTATATTCTAGTTAGTATGAGTGATGTCATGATAAATATCCCACAATATATGCAATTATTTCATTTGAATAATAGATTCACGCAATTGAGTAAAAGTTTTATAAAGATATATACGGTAAATGGAAAATAAAATATTTGTGAGAATAGTTAGAAAAATTGAAATTATGATAAAGTTGTTAATTATATAATTGTGAATTACCGGCAAATAATTAGGAGTGCATTTGATTGATGAAACTAATTATGAATGCAATTTACGAAACCCAAAGGTGACGACAGCTACCCCTCAGTGCCTGACATCATTGGGAAGAAACCGATTCCAGACTTTCCTCAATCATTAGAAGAGATGAGAGCCAAAGCCGTTCACATGAATCGTCTGGAGCTGCGGGGACCGACATGTCAGGCCTATTGCAATATTAAGCTCGATTGCGGTCATCTGTCGCCCTTTACCTACCCTCCCATCACCACAACCGTCCAGTCGATGCTCTAACGATGGCCTCAACTATTAAATCCCATAATTATTTTATGCCTCAATTTATCGATGTTTTTATAATGAGATTTAATTGTTTAGTAAATGAATTCATTTTATGTAAAAATCATTTTTAAATTTTATATATAATTTGCATCAAAATAAATATATATTCTGTTTAAATGCTTATCAATACTGCAATCAAATTGAGTGCAAATCAATTGATAGCTTAAGAATTGGTGTAAATCATGAGATAATTGTCAACAACACTAGTCTTTGGAATCAATGGTAATACTGTTCCCAAAACTGTCCAACACTTGCACTGCTGGCATGACATGGGATCAGATGCTTAGTTAACAGTAAACACAACATAAGGTATAATTGATTGTCTAAAATAATGAATAAAATATAAGCGATGGACAGAAATGAATGTCCAAATGAAAGAGAGGTGACAATGGGATGTAGTGTTAAAATCGTGGCAAAACCGGAAGAATAAGATTCCCGAACGAAGAGTCTTGTGGTATAAAAAAGCCAAAAGAGTTATTGTTTGCGTGATTAAGAGCCGCCCTCTGAGTCGATGTCATGGACCCGGAGGACGTGGAGGACGTGGAGGCCGTGTCGGTGGCAGTGGTGGCGCCGGTGGTCGGCGTCAGGGATGTCGTGTTTGGTGTCATCTGCGGCGCCGACGATGACTGTCCGCTAATCGACTGCTGTTTCAGAAGCTGTTGTTTCTTCTGGAGGTCTTCTAATATCTTATTCCTCTGCTGTTCCTGTCGTTGGTTCGGCATTTGAAATGACATTTTCATTGGTACTCCTCTTGTGGTGACAATCACTTCACAGCCGAAGATGTCTGCAAACAGAGCTCACAATCGCTCAGAAATTCAATGTTTTGTTGTTTTCAACTCTACTCTCAATCGCAAAGTCACGTGATTTTCGAGACCCTTTACATTGCAGTCAATCCT